CTGGGGCCCTCCAGAGAGGGCCTCCCCAGGGGCCGCCAGAACACGGCGCCCAGGACGACACAGCTCGGGAGGCACCCTGAGATGAGATCCGCGCGTTGCACTACTTCCCTGAAGGCTTGTCGACTTTTCGCCAATCGACTTGTGGGGATCGAACCAGATAACTGCAGGCAAATGCAGATAGTCGGGATAAATCCAGGTAGATCCAGATAGATCGAGATACATCCAGATAAATCCAAACAAGTGGTACGTGTGCCATGGCTCTTGCACAAAAAGAGACGGGGAGGAGGAGGAGGCGGAGGTGGAGGAAGAGGGGGGAAGAGGGGGCAAAACATCGCCCCTCAGGGCCCAGCAACGGGACCCAAATCCCAGATGGGAGGGGGGGGAGGTGGTGTGCGTCGGGACGCGGAATAAAGTGCCCGGAGCGGAGGGGGCACGGGGCTGAGGTCCCACTGGGGCGCTGGGGGCGCGGAGGGGAGGGGGGGGGAGGTGGTGTGCGTCGCGACGCGGAATAAAATGCACTGCGCAGGGCTTGGGGCAGAGAGCAACGGAGCGGGGGTCCAACTGGGGCCCTGGGGACGGGGGAAGGGGAGGGGGGGAGATGGTGTGCGTCGCGACGCGGAATAAAATTGTCGGGGCGGAGGTGGCACGGGGCGGAGCCGCCACTGGGGCGCTGGGGACGCGGGGGGGAGGTGGGGGAGGGGGTGTGCGTCGCGACGCGGAATAAAGCGTTCGTGGCGGAGGGGGCAGTGGGCGGGGCTCCCGCTGGGGCGCTGGGGACGCGGGGGGGCTCGGGGCAGAGAGCCACGGCGCTGGGGTCCCACTCTGGCGCTGGGGACGCGGGGGAGGGGGTGTGCGACGCGGAATAAAGCGTTCGTGGCGGAGGGGGCAGTGGGCGGGGCTCCCGCTGGGGCGCTGGGGACGCGGGGGTCTCGGGGAAGAGAGCCACGGCGCGGGGGTCCCACTCTGGCGCTGGGGACGCGGGGGGTGTGGTGTGCGACGCGGAATAAAGTGGTCGGAGCTCTAGACACCCTATGCAAGAGGATAAAGCCAGATAAATCCAGAGATCTCCCAGGAAAATGAGAGCTATTCGCGGCCGCTCCAGCGCGAGTCGAAGGACGGCAGAAGTCGTTAAGCCTTTCACGACTATTGCTTCTTGCCGTGCGGGTCCACCCGTCACAGAGCGATCCGGCTAAAAACATGGCGCAAAGAGATGGGGTCTAGCAAAACGAAGCCGGAACGATGAGGATCCAAGCGGGCGAGGATAGATCGAGCATCTTTGAGATCCCGCGGATCTGGAGGGTGTCCCGAGATCTCATGAGATCCCGCAGATTTATCCTCGTCCTAGCCCCGTCCGGTCTTTGGCGCCAGTCATGATTTCCCGCTGTGCTGCATATGTTGGGCAACGTCGGATCTCAAGGCGTTTGGCCGGGCGAGCGGCCGGACCCCCTCTGCTCCTCCTCGCTCCTCCGACTCCCTGCTCCCTCCCCTACTCATCCTCCTCCTGCCCCTCCTCCTTCCAAGAGGCCTCCCTGGCAGAAACCAGCCCTCCCGCCCCTGTCCGTAGCCGACATCATCGTTTATGACGACACGATACTTATCTTCATCCCCTACTCCATTACAGATACTGAAAGACGGTGGGCGGGGTCTGCTGCATTCTGTACAGCACACGCACAATGTAGAGATGGGTCACGGCCAACGGGGGCAATGGGATCAACATACAAAGTACCACTTGATATCCGGGTCAAATGGGACATACACCACAACCTCCATCGATCATCTCCAGCTCCCACAGCCAATATGGCTCAACGACGGCCCAGGTGCGCAGTGTTGCGCACAAGCGGGATTATCTCGAAGTGCGAAACGCTGGTGGCTGCCCACGGCCTTCACGGGCAACAGTCAACTATGGCCATGCGGGCGTTGCAACAAGGGGCTCGGGCACCACAAGATGATCGAAAGCCACAGGAAGCACACCAATAATGCGCCTGGACGGTAAAAAAAAAATCAAGGAGGCAAGGGAAGTCAATGGAAGAGGATGTGCATCGACTGCGAGCTGGAGCTGAGGCAGGAGGAGTGGATCAAGTGGAGCGACGAGGAAAAGATAAGACATGGAGGACAGCAGTACATTACGTGAGAGCACGTCTGCCGAGAACTAAAAGGGAAACCAAAAGGAACCGCGTGGGCAGCCCAGTCCCTGGGGCAGATCCAGGCGGCGAACATGCTCATTGAGGCAAGGGAAGGACCAAAGAAAAAGTCTCGCAATCAGAGGAACAAGATGGTCATTGAGAGGTCCAAGGAGATGTCAAAGGCACTGCTGGAGGGCATTCAGATGAATGGGGGGGCATCTTCGCAGCCTTCAGCAAAGCAGGAGAAGGCATGGCCCAGGCCTTACGATGCGCTGAAGAATACGACGCCCTGCTGAACAAGTACATGGGCATGGACGTGAAAGACGAAGAAGCGCAGAAGGCCGCCAACAAGGAACTGGAGGAGAAAGAGAAGGAGCTGCACGATGAGGGAGACTACAATACGGCGAAGAACATGGGGGAGAAACAGGCAGCGTCAGACATCGGGTGCAACTCCATGTTCCAACCATTCAGGAAAGGGACCTTCTATGGTGGCGGAGCTCAAGGTGTGAGAAAGGTGGGAAGTGTTTGTAACGGGAAGGCTGCCGCGGAAGCTGGACGACGCCATCAAGGACAAGCATGACAAGTTCCACGACGGCGCCCAGAAGATGAGCCCAGAAGAGCTCCTCGAGCTGATCCCAATAGCCTTCCCGATGACGCACAAGGTCGACGGATGCGATCCCATCACAAGGTACTGAGTGGACATGTGGGAAACAACTGGGAGGAAGGCCTTCACCGTGCAGAGCTGATGTGGGTTGGCGGTGCAGATAGAGAAAAATGATGAGGATAACCTCTACAGCGTCATGAAGGTTGCCTTGAATGAACTGAATAACCATGACAATCTCGACCCAAAGGAAATGAAAAGGCTCAAAACACGCCAAAACCTACGGGACAGCACGAAGACCCTGCTGGATGGTACCGAGATCTTCGAGAAGTACGCCAAGCTGGAGGAGGCGGCCAGCTCCAGCGGCCGCAAGTGAGAGGGCCCACTGGAGCCCACTGACAACGCCTACAGGTGCATTAGCGTGGTTATCCCGGAGTGCGACTCTAGGCTGGCAGAACGGGCCGACTCAGTGGGACCATCACTAGCGGGGCCATCTCGGCGTAAGGACCCTTAAGAGAGAGCTCGCGCAGACAACGTCTTGGGAAGTGACATATTGGAGCGCCGACAGGTACACTACTGCAGGGAAAAATAAGGACAAAGGGTGGTAACCACGAAGGCCACCAGAGCGCATCCACGAGGGCCCCACATTCAACATACCGTGACTACCAGTATGCTCTTCCCTACCTACACTTCGAAGGGGAGCAGTATGATACTTCAGCAGGGTATCGGGGTACAGCTACGATAACACATGGGAGAACTATCGTCCAGTTCGTTCTGGAAGAGAAGTGGGCCGAGAGAGAGATAGAGAGGAGAGAACAGGACAGAGTAGGATGATTAGGCCCCCCAACAGAAGCTTGGAAAGCATGGGCCTCCTGGTTCTCCTCCGCTTCTCTTTTTGAATGGTCGTGTCGTCGTCTCTTCCCCATGAGCCCTGCTCGCCCAGCGCGTCCCCATTCCCCGGGCACGCGGAAGGGCCAGCAGCTGCTCCCCCGGCACTGACCCGCAGGGACTCGTATTCACAAGGTAGCGAGCCTCTCTAACGGGGCCACCTCGGAGCTCATCCCTTGAAGCTTCGGAGTATGCCCCCTGCAAGCCCTAGTGAGAAGTCAGGGCTGTTGCAAAAACAAATCGCAGGGGATTTTGCAGACGCGCGCAAGGCACCAGTCTAGGTGTGTTGACGTTGACCCCTTATGCGGATGTCCTGTCCTGTCCTGTCCTCCTCCTCCCTACTCTTCCGGAGAAGGAGGAGGAGGAGGAGGGCATATAAGACAACCTCGGGGTGAAATCCTTCAGACAATGCATCCTTAAAGGAGGTTCAGGCGTAAGGGGGTGGCGCTTGTAGGGCTCAGTGAACTGACGCGTTAGCATGAGGCGCGCGTGGCAAACAGTTCGCATCCCAAGTTCCTCTTGCCAGGGTACCGAAACTTTGGCGCGACACCGAGGCGCCAAGGCCCACCCAACGCTTTGCGAAGGCCCCTCTCTGATTCCGCCGTCGCGGTCGAAACGATCTTGGGGACACCGCCGACCAGCCATAACTGGGGGAGCTGTGGTCCTAACCCCTTTGGGAGAACCCATCGCATCGACGATCTCTCGAGAGGGGTGTCAAAATCGATGGGCCCCCCAGGGGGGTAAGGAACACAACTCCCCCAGTTGTGGCTGGCCTGCACCGTGCCCCCCTTGCCCGCGGGCCCTCCAGGCGATCACGCCCGACCTGGTCGGTCACGCCGCCACCGGCCAGCGCCGCAGGGCAACAACAGCCCGCCAGCCGCAGTGCACTCTTGGGGGGCTGCAGCAGGCCTCTGGGGCGTGCAGCACGCTCCGGGGCGTGCATGCTCTGCTCGGTCCTTGCGTGCGCCGGGACCGTCGCAGCACCGTGCGCTCCTCGAGTCTCTAGCGCAGGGCCTGAGCGACAATGCGCATCTGCAACGCGTTCTTCGTGCGCAGTTGCAACGGAATGTGCGCGCAGCGCCAGATAGATCGCCCCAGGCCAAGCGCACCAACTCTTGATGCAACTGATGTCACAGATGGGACACCGAGATCTCGAAGCACTTTCGGAGACGCCTGCCTGCCGTCTGCCTCGATCGTTCTCATGTCTCGAGGCCGTTTGCAGGCATGTGTTGCAGCGAAGGGCGAAGGGCGCAATCACTTTCGCAGGGGCCCGTCCGTGGGGCTCCTTTTAGTGCACTGTCCCCCAATCCTCGATCCCCTAAAGCTTCTTACCCGCGACCGACCGACGCACCGACCGACCCTCCCCACTCGCGCGCGCGCGCACTCGCCTGTTTCGGCGTCAGGGGCGGGACGAAGAGCTCCCGACCGTGCTCCCGCATGACGGCCCGGGTGTCCTCTGGGTACCTCTCCCGTGCCACGGTGCGGGTCGAGGAGCTTTCCAGCAGGGGCTGAGGGGCAACGATCTGGTTCTGCGGCAACTCCTGGGAGCATCCCATGCCATCTTGTTGGCTCTTGCGAATCGACGCTGGTCGACGCTAAATCGACGCTAAATCGACGCTAGTCGACGCTGCGTCGGCGCTAGCGCATCGATTACCAGACTTTAATCAACGCCAGTGCGCTCTGAAAGCGGAATGAGAAACGTATACAAGGCACACATGGTTGAAGGGGCCTGGGACACACAAATTCATACACACAAATAACAGGATGCCCTATATTTTCCCATATCTTCTGGGTTCTTGTCTCCCCCCCCACTTCCCACATTTTCCTATATGTTTAATGGACATCGACGATTCATGGTGTCTGTGTGTTTCTTCCCCTCCTGAACGCTCTGCGACAGCAGCACAAGGCAACGGCCCACGAGGGCCTCGCACGAGGGAGGGACCCTCGACCACGCATCTGCGACACATCGCCGACAGCTGGGAGACTATTGCGCTCCGTGGGGGAGATCGTCGTGGAGATCGTCGAGATCCCGAGGAGATCGTCGTGACCGTCGAGGCCGCCCCCGCGGAAGGTCGTCGAGATCCTCGGGGGAATCCCGCGGAGCCTCCCCTCCTGGGCTCCATGCGCTCGCCCCCTGCGCCCCCCCGCCCCCCGAACCGTTCCGCGCAGCTCCTGCCTGCGGCGCGTGCTCCGGGTGAGCACCCGCAATCGGCGGCGAGCCCAGAGGGGGCCGCCGCCGCCGCCGATCCTCGACCAAAACTCTGCGACACATCGCCGATCGATCGGCGCTCCCGGCAGCGAGGCCGCACGCTCCTGGGCGGTGCGGGCGGTCGAGCACCACGTCGGCGATACAGTGGGCGATCGAGTGTCGATGCGGCCCCCCCCTGGGCTCATCCCACCCGGATGTTAGGCGGCGAGCGAGGGGGTGAAGTGAGTAGAGGAGGAGGAGGAGGAGGAGGAGGAGGAGGAGGAGGAGGAGGAGGAGAGAGAGGAGGAGGAGGAGGAGGAGGAGGAGGACGAGGAGGAGGAGGAGGAGGACGAGGAGGAGGAGGAGGAGGAGAAGGAGGAGGAGGACGAGGAGGGAGGGGGAGAGGAGGAGAGGAGGAGGAGGAGGAGGAGGAGAGGAGGGGGAGGAGGAGGAGAAGGAGGAGGAGGATGATGAGGAGGAGGAGGAGGAGGAGGAGGAGGAGGAGGAGGGGGAGGGGAGGAGGAGGAGGAGGAGGAGGAGGAGGAGGAGGAGGAGGAGAAGGAGGGGAGGAGGAGGGGGAGGAGGAGAAGGAGGAGGAGGAGGAGGAGGAGGACGAGGAGGACGGGGAGGAGGGGGAGGAGGGGGGACGAGGGGGAGGAGGATCATCGGCGGTCAGCCCAGGGGGGAAGTGAACAGGGGCGGGCCTTCTCAGAAGGCTCGGAAGCCCCCCTGCCTTCTGAGAAGTTGGCTAAGCCTGCCCGAAGACCCACAAGGAACTTCTCAGAAGGCGCGAAGGCTTCTGAGAAACCCCGCCGCCGTCTGAGAACACTCTCTCCTGCTCACTTACCCCCCTCGCTACCCTAGCTCGCCGACGAACGAAGGGAAGCGGGTCTTACGCAAGATGGCATAGCGACCTTCCGCCTCGGCGTACGCGGGCCAAGGGCGCTGCACGCCACACTGAAGACGAGTGCGTTTGCGCGAGACTTTGCTTGGGCAGCGAGACTTTGCTTGGGCAGCTGACGTGTGAATGTCTGCGCAGACGAACCTGTATTGCTGCGTCGCTCATCTGAGTTTTGCCAGCTAGCGGGTGTTATTCTTGTTTGCCAGATGCGCTGGGAGCTAAAGGACTCAATGCTCAGACAGCCACGTGCCTCTCTAGATCATAGAACGCAACTCCAGAACAGCAATTCAAATAGGTACTAGACAAATCGTCCAGCAGCTCTCGGCCAACGCCTCCCGCTTGCTGTACAACTGTGGAAGCTGCGTGCGCTCGACCAGAGCTGTGCGAGGTCCTTCGGCAGCTCGCGGCCCACACTGCTGCTGCCCGTGCAGATGTAAAACGGTGGGCTCGAGCTGCGAAACCCTGCCGATAACCTGCTCGAGGCAACTCGTGGCCTTGCGCGCACCGAGTCGGCGCGGCAGATGGTGGTGGCGCCGGCGTTCGAGGCGGCGCGAGGTCCCTCAGCAGCCCTCGGCCCGCAGCTCTACTACCGGCCTTGCGAATTTGTGAAAAAAAAGGGTGGGCCCGTCGAGCCGCTAAAGACCTGCCGACAAAACCTGTGGCGCGTGCACGTTCTACATCCCCACTCATCCGATGCCCGCTGCGGACTCGACGAGCAGGAAGTCGCCATAGCGCTCCTTCGCCTTCACGTTGGTGCCATTCGGGATCTGGCCCACGCTCTTCTCGAAGGTCAGACGGTGTTTTGTACAGCCTCACATGGTTGGGCTGTGGACGGCCACAGATCAACGGCAACCTGCTAGTCCGAATAATTTCGACAGATAATTTGGAACTGATCCTCCACCAGTAACTTCGAGAGGGCGTCGGAGCTGGTGCATGGCTTCGACGAGCCGTCCTCACAAGGACACCTTGCGATCAGCCCAAAGTCGCCCGGCCTGACCACGTCCGACTCCACGGGAAACCACTACACCTCCGACTTGCCGGCGCGCTGTATCCCCGCCGGGCTGATGCCAAAATGATTGCTCAGGTCCAGTGCTATGTGCTTAATCCGCGAACTGCCCAGAGGGGACCGCCATCGGCCTCGGCCCGATGGTGGCCTCGTCGCCGATGTGCGGCGGGAAGACGAAGCAATCGAACTCCATGGCGAACGAAGATACGGCACCCTTCTCGGCCACCTACCTCCTGTTTATGCCTGTGCCCTCTTGCATGTTGTGGTTCCTAATGAGCCGCTCTGCCGACGAGCTCGTCCCGAGGCTCGTCGACGAGGCTGCCGACGGCCTCCACCCGAGACTCGTCGACGAAGTTGGGTGCCCGGCCCGAGGCTCGTCCGGGCGCCCCCCGTGCCCAAGCGTCTCCCGGACGAGCCGCAGCGCCCTCTCGCTCTGAGGCGAGTCCGCGCGGATGCCAAGGTACAGCCGCGTGCCTGCCTGCACCTCGGTCTGAGCACTCGGCTGCGGGATCGTCTTCCCGCGCTTGCCGGGCTGCTGGACCAGCAGGGTGACGACCGGGTTCGCCGGGTCCGGGAAATCGCTCCCGAGCCCCAGCTGCTCCAGTGTCCTGCCGAAGAGCCGGCGCTGCCCCGAGCCCGCCACCGCCAGCAGCGTGAGCGGCAAGGAGCTGCCCTGGTCGCGGGCCAGCCGCTCCGAGGGCTCCGGGGAGGCCCTGGGGACGCCAAGCCACGCGCCGCCGCCCTGCCCCTCGAGCTCGGCTTCCCCTCTGGAGAGCCAGGCCGACTGCAGCAGCCCCTCAAGGGTCAGCCGCTCCGCGGGGTCTTGCCGCTCCGCTCCTCGAGGAGCTCCTGCCTCACCTGCCGCACCTCCCCCACCATGCCCCTCTGGCCCGGGCGTCCCGCTGCAGGGGTCGTTCGGCCGTCCGCGCCAGGGCGCCCAACTCCGCAAAAACAACTCCACTGGCACGCAAACGCCCACCGTCGCGCAGTTTCGCCTTCGTCCCGCCCAGCCAGCACTGGGTCTCCACCAAGTTCCACTCGCCGCACTGGTACGTCTGATGCAGGATCGGGCCCATGCCCCAGCAGTCCGCAGGGGGGCCCAGGGGGGCGCGGCCCTCGCACAGCTCCGGGGACATGTGGCCCGGCCTGAGGTGGCACACCGTGCCCACCTTGCACGACACGCCGAAGTCGCACAACTTGAGTTTGTGGTCCAAAGTCACAAGGACGTTCGCAATCTTGAGGTCTGGGTGCAGGATGCTCTTTCCGTGCATGTGCTGTAGGCCCCTAGCCATCTGCTTGTATAGTCGCCCGCACAGCAGCGAGGGCACCTTAATCCCGACCAGGTCGTACTGCTTCCAGAGGCGCCCCAGGTCGAAGCCGACGGGGTCGACCTGCTCCAGCACCAGGTAGGGAGAGCCCTCGTGCCCCCCGTAGCTGAGCATTCTTATGATCGCAGAATGGCGCCCCAACGCTTCTAGCACTTCGATATCATTCCTGGTTCTGTGTATGTGTTTCTCGGTCCTTGCCCGCGCGAGGCAGACAACGGCATTCTCGCCGCGAAACTTCCCGGGGAAGATGGACTTGCTGCTGCCCTGCGCCAGGATCTGCCCGTGAGGGTCCCACTGCAGATCGTGCCCGATCACAAGCTCCTCGGGCGGCGCCCCAACATCCTCCTCGCAAAACTTCATGCTACGTCCAGCCGTGCTTCTGCTGGTCCAGCGCGCCGACTGCGCGTCGATTTTTGGATGCCTCTTCCTCCGCGGGAAGCGCTGCCAGCGGGGAGCGCGCGCTGCCCAATATCGACTTCGGGGCTCCGTCCGCCGCCGCAGCTAGAGTTTGCACGTGGCTCTGCGAGATGCCCTCGGCCTCAACGCGCGCCGGCCGCCGCACAAGCTGCTTGGCCACGGAGAGCTCCTCGAACTAACTCGCTCTCTCCTCCCTTCCCGATGCAGGTGAAGCATCCCGCACTGAGCCACGCGCCCCATCCGACCTTTGAAAAAACACGCTCGAACATGTCTTCCGCGAGCCGCTGGGCGAGACACCGGCGCTCTGAGCCACCCCTCGCCTTGAGCCAAAATGGCTACGGAACAGCTGGCGGGTGGCTCTTGATTTCGGCTTCTCGAGGGCCCTTTTGTTGGCCCCCCGGGACCATCCAAGCTGGATGTGAGACGGAAAACTAATCCTGGGGAAGCGGTCGGAGCCGCTGGGGCCGCATATTGCAAACATACCATCGACGGAGGTCAGGGCCTCTGGCTGGAGTGTGGTCGAATTCTGGCGATGCGTGCATCCAAGGCGTGACCCAGCTTCACGCGTCTTGGCGACATTCCTGGTCAGAATCAACCAGAATGCTCCTGGAACGACTGCTCTGGGCACCCCGAACTATCCAGGAAAATTAGACCTGGTACGAGTGGGGCCTTGTTTGGTGTTCCAAAATGTGGTCTGGGAGAACCCTGGAACGCTTGATCTGGAATACGTCTTGCTTCAAGAGAATCCTGGTCAACATCTGCATGGGGCAGAATGCGATCCCAAAGAGCTCGAGATGAGTGCAATCAGGCGCGACTGGAGCGCGACAACGAGAGGTCCGAAACGGGAGTTATCCCTGATCACCCCCTGCCTTGATGACTCAGCCTGCTGCCTGTTGTTAGCATTGGGCAAGCGGGTCCCGAGGGAAACTGGCCCTGTAACCTGGTACCTGCGCCCAGGACGAGCTCTGCATCCTGAGTCGTTCCCTGGCAGCCCTGGCGCCCGTGGAGGGCCCGGGGGGCCCGAAAACGGCGACAAACCTCAGGACCCGTCTCCCCAGACCGCCAAGGCGCCGTCCGAGGCTTGCATATTCAAGGCGTGCCCAAGGCAGACACGCCCTGGCGACGCTCCTGCTCAGAACCCTCCACTGTGGAGGCAAGAGAACGGCATAAGCATAAACTGTGGGAAGCCCGCGCGGATTTCTTGGATCGGCGCTGGATTCCCCTCCCCGGCGCGCGGGGCGCGCCAGGGGCGGCGCCAGAGGCGCCGCCAGGGGGATTCAGCGCAGATCCAAGAAATTCGCGCGGGCCGCCCCAAGTTTCTGTTGCTGCCGTTTTCATGTTATTTTATATCTTTTGAAACAATAACTGCCTGCCGAACCACCCCAACCCGACCCGAAGTCGCAGTTGGGCTCGTCGATTTTCGTTGGGGGGACTCCAGAAAATTAAGGAAACTATATGGGAACCGCACGTCCATCAACCCAAAATTTGGGGTGGTCGGGTGCCTCCGTATTAGGTGGGGGTGGCTTGGTCAGTACAACCGGACCTGGGACAGAGTCACACCCTTCAAGAACAGGTGACCCTCCACCCGCCAAAACATACAGAACATCCACAGGGTACCTCCCCCAGGATGCACAATAACATCTAACAACACACGAAGAACATTACCCCGAACCGACCTCGACCTTCGACCCCGGACCCGCTGTATAGAAAAAGAACAACGCCATAAGCATAAACTTTCGGCGATCCGCGCGTACTTCTTGGATCTGCGCTGGACCCTCCTCCCTGGAGCGCGGAGCGCGCCAGGGGCGGCGCCGGAGGCGCCGCGGGGGGGGGGGGGGGGCCGCGCGGATCCAAGAAATCCGAGCGGACCGCCAAAAGGCTCTGTTTACGGCGCTGCTGCTTCCTCCTCGGGATGCACGAGCACGCTCGACAGCGCACACGGCCAGCGCCGCCCCGCCTTGCCTGCGGCGACGCGCGCCTGCCGGCCCTCCTCCGGCCGCCCCTCCGCCCGCCGACGCCACGAACGGCGCCGTCAGGGCCCGGGCGGGTGGGCGAGGCTCCGCGCACCCGGGCGCCACCCGAGGCCGCGCGCGCCGCGGGTGCCTTGGGCTGCGGCGGGGCCTGCGCGAGAGGGGCCGCCGCCTCGGCACGGCGCGGCTCCGGCTCGGAGGGGCGCCCCCTGCGGGGCACGCGCCGCGCCCTGCGAGGCCCCCCCCCCCCCCCGCACGACGCGACGCTCGGCTCGGCACGGCTCGCCTCGGCTCGGCTCGGCGCGGCTCGCCTCGGCACGGCACGGCTCGGCGGGGGGAGGCACCCCCTGCTCAGAGTTGGGGCGGCTCCGGGCCGAGGGCCCAGACTTCGCTCGAGGCGCTCTTCTGAAGCGGTCGCCCAGGTCCAGATCTGCGAACACTCGGCGCAAAAAGGAGCTCCAGGCAAACGCCCAGGGTGTGGCCCAGACCTTTGCTTTCCGTGAGCAAAACCTGGAGTCCATGAAAATGATGTATTTCTTGTGATTGCTGGTGGGTATAGCAATAGGATGCGAACAAATTGAAGAAACACCGCCAAGAGGCCCCAAGAGGCCCCAAAGAATCTCCCAAAAGGCCCCCAGAACCTTCAAGAGGCCCGAAGTGTCACACCTGACGGCCCACCGTGCCCCCTCGAATAGATGCCAGCCAACATGCTGGACTGGCACGGTGGCGGGACTTGCCTCAAGCAACGGGATAGAAGACGAAAACAAGGGCATAAACATAAACATTCGAAACTCCGCACTGGTGTCCTGGATCGGCTCTGGCGCCTCCCGGGCGAGAGAAACGCACGGCGGCGGGGCCGAAACCGGCTGCATGCAACCGTGCGACTCGGCGCTGCTGCCACACGGGGCCAGGACCGCGTTGCGCCCAGATGCGCCAGGGGAAGTATTACACAAGGACGCGTCCGAAACACTCAAAATTGACCGGGAGCCGACGCTTGGCTGTAGCCCAGGCGCCGCTGGCCTACAGAATCCAGAGACCACCGTGGGCTCAAGAGTAACCCTGCGAACACGCGACCTCGCTCATCAAGGCAGGCAATTCGATTGCCTAGGTCCCCAACGCCTTCACCTGTCTTGCTTCCAACGGTGGGGTGTCGTCGGGTCCGTGGTTCGAAACACGCGCATTTTGCAGACGGCCCCGATCATCAGCAGCGCCGCAAGCTCGAAGGCAAGATACACCAGGGGCCCGACCACAGGAAACCTCCCACAAGAAATCCAACCTTGAGACCCCAGGACGTCCATGGACTGGCTTTCCGTAGCAAAACCAGCGAATCCCAGAAAAAACCAGGGCACCCTGGAGGCGAGCAGGGTGCCTCCTGGCATGGGCCTCCACCATAGGAGAACGTGCAGCGCGTGCAGGATGGACGGGGAGAGCGCACCCGTGTGCAGGCATCTCTGGCCACGTCGGCGGCGGGGCAGAGGCAGTCCGCACCAACGTGGGGCTAATCGGGGGCACCGATCGGCAAATTGTCCGGCGTGCAAGCGGGCGAGGAGGAGCAGAAAGAGCGGCGCCGCAAAGGGAGGAGAAAGAGGGAGGCGCTCAGCCGTGGAAGCATTCCGCGGTGAGCGGGCCGGAGCGGCCAGCCAGCCAGGGCAGCGGGGACCGCGGCAGTAGCCGGGGCCGGGGCCAGGGCGCACCCGCGGGCGCTGCCAAGGCGCAATGGCAAACAGACAGAAGCACATGTGCGATGGCAAGCTGTTGCGAACTGGACGTGCATCGTTGGGATGACGCTGCGCACCGCCAAACTCCTCATGGAGCCTGGTAGCCCCAGAGAATTACAACACCACGACAAATCACGACCGGAGCCTTGGACACCATCTTTTTTGCGCCATTTTTCCACCCAGATCGACCTGCGAGGGCCCAGGGGCACCGAGCCGGGCGAAGACGCCCAGTGTGGAAGATGGCAGCGTCCAGATCTCAGGTTGGCGATCCTCGCTGCGCACGGCCATGGCAGTGTGCCATCGTGTGAGTGGCGGTGGGCTGCCTGGGTCGTCCCCAAGGGCTCCTACGTTCGCGCTTCGCGCTGCGCGAAGCGCGAAGCGCGAATAACTTCGCGCTCTCGCGCCGCCCCCCAAGGGGGAGAAGAGGAGGACGAGGAGGAGGGGGAGAAGGAACGAGGACCGCGAAGCGCGAAGCGCGAATAACTTCGCGCCCTCGTGGGAGCCCTTGCGTCCCTGCCCCGCTCCCCGGACGGCGCCTCCAAATCGCCAGCAGCTTGTGGCCCGCAAACACGGAGCCCACGTTGCTGGTCGGAATGCAGTCCTCGGTGCCCCGCGCAGGAGAGAGGACAGAGAGCGGAGCTGCATGAGCTCTGGCCTCGATGCACACGAACACGCCTTCCTGGAATCGGCCTCGGCCTCCCTCCCTCTACTCTTAGGGGTAAGTCGGGCGTGTCCACCCACAGGGGGACTTCCGACGGAAATCAAAAGATATTTAATACATGCTCCTAAACGGTCAAATAATATTCAAAAATCGACCCCATACTATTTTCGACAATTTTCGAATATTCCCCCTGTAGAGGGACAGGCCCGACTTAATCTTAGGGCGACTCTCTCAGTACGCCCCAACCACGTCTGGCCGGGCTTTCCCCTGTTCTCGGAGCCCTCTCTCCGTGCCCCACGACGCCAACAGGAACCGCCCCCCCTACCCGCCGGGGCACGCTGTCCATGCGCCCGCACCCAGCACAGTCGAGCTCGATCCGAGAGGAGACGCGAGAGGACACGAGGCTCCTCCGAGGGCAACACGGACTCCAACAGAGGGAACCGCTGGCCAGGGAGTCCGGCAGATGTGGGACGCCATACGCAGGACTCCAGGGCAACCTCGCTTTGGAAGTGCCGACGTTCAGAAGCCAGGCGAAGGCTGGCAAACCCGTGGCTGCTAAAACGGAGCTCCGGGAAGTTGTTTTTGCTTCCGGGAAGCAGCCCGTTTACCAGTCAGTGCGCCGAGTGCCACCCTTGGAGGCAACGATAGGGGGGGGGGGGGGGCACGGGGGGGGGGCTGCATCGACCTGGAATCGGCGATACATCGTCGATGGATCGGCGATAGGCCCCCGATAGTGAATCCACACGTTCCTGGGCGGGATGGGGCCATCGGGTCCCTATCGGCGATCAATGGGCGATTGGGGGTCGATGCATCCCCCCCTGTGCCTATCCCCACCTGTCGTTGCCACCGGCACCCTGGGAGGCAGCACAGCCGTCGCCATAGCCGCGGGAATGCTCCAAACCGGCGCGTCGGTGCACAAGAGGGCCGTGCAGAGTCGCCCCGCAGGCCGACGGCGTCGCTGAGGAAGCAGGACCTGGAGCCTCTAGGAAACGCCGCCACTGAAGGGGCCCCAGGACACACAAGTAAATACACACAAATAAAAGTATTCCCCATATTTTCCTATATTTTCTGGGATTTTGTCTTCCCCCCCACTTCCCATATTTTCCCATATTTTCCTGGGACTCGACGATTAATTGTGTCTGTGTGTTTTTTCCCCTTCTGAGCCGCCCTTGGAGATGCCCCCGAGGCCAGGACAAGCCTCCCGAACTCCGCCTGTCCCCGGCCGGGCCCTCGGCAGCCCCGGCCCACCACGTGCAGGTCGTACGCGGAGAAGCCGCCTCCGCAGAACATGCCCTCGCTGAAGTCGTCCCAGAACAGCATCGACCGGACCTCTGCGGCGCGACAGCCCTCCGAGTACGGGCCCAGGAGACACTGACCAGGGCACTGCAGGCGAGCGTCGCGGTGGCCACGACGGCAAGGGCAAGGGGGCCCTGATCAGCAGGACCAGAGAGAGGCCAAACTAAAAGGGAGTCGAGCCCGGCCTGCATGCGGCCCATCGGCAGACAATGGCCGGACGAAACATGCGAGCAGCGGGATTGAAGTGTCGTTCATCCTTTGGGGGTGAATGGCGAGGTGCATGCACAGGCAACGGCTATGGTAATACAGGTGATGGTATCGGTACGCATGACTGCAAATGTACTACTGCACACGTGCATGCACATGTGGAAAGAAATTTGAATACACAATCAAACTCAGATACACACGAAACTGAAAAAGGTCGCTGCGAACGCACGTAAGGGTAAGCCCGCGTCAAAGTAAAAGGTGAAGGTGAAAGGGCCGAGCACGCCCGGCTTGGGCCAGGGGGACGTACGACCCCGACATCTGAATACATGGTAACTCGCCAAGCTTCTACATGTAGTAGTCGACGACCTACCACACATAGCTATGACATGCGTATGTGCGTATGCGTGTATGCAAATATATGACTAGGACACCGAGGGAGAAGAAAGAACACAAGATCACCTCCAGCCTGGATGCAACGACGGCCCCAAGAGAGGGTCCAGCTGGGGAGCCCGAACGGACATGTCGAGCCCTCGGCCCCGACGAGGGCCCCCCAGAATGCCCCCAGAGGCCCGTAAGAGGCCCCCAAGAGGCCCCAAGAGACTCCCAAAGGGCCCCAAGAGGCTCCTAGGAGGCCCCCAAAGAGGCCGCCAAAGAGGCCCCAAAAATCGTTCCCAAGAGGCTCCCGAGAGCGCCCCGAAGAAGCATCCTTGAGAACTCCGACCCGCAACCTGGGCCCGGTGGCGGGATTTAGCCCACGGCCACTAGATAAGATAACCTCCAGCCTGGGTGCACTGACCACTGGCGTAGGGGGCCACATGCGAACCCTACCCCTGCCCCTCACGATTTCGGAGGGGGAGGGTGGGGTTCACTTCGTCTGGGAGCTCCCGAGCGAAGCGAGCCCCACCCTTCCCCTCAGAAATCGTGGGGGGTAGGGGTAGGGTTCGCCTGTGGCCCCCTGTGGTGGGGAAAGAACAGCACAACAAGCGTGCAAATACCCCGGCGGGGGGTCACGAAGCGCCCCGCTGCCGCACGGAGGACGGCGCCCTCCGCCAAAACGTCTCCACGGCCCCGCCACGCCCGCGGAGCCCGAAAAAGGCCTGGGCTGCGCCTCGGGAAGGCCGCACGGCCTGCGAAAGCAGCACGCGCATCTCGCCATCGCTCGGACGTCCATTCCCTGTGTTTATTTTTGGGTTTCGTGCGTGGCTGTTTCGCCAAATGATCAAGGATGCTCCTCGATGGTTCTCGCCGAGGACAAAACGCACACGTCCGAGCGATGCCGAGGGCCTGCGAGAGCAGCACGCGCACTCCTCTGCGGAGGGCTGCCGAACAGCAGCACGGCAAGCGAGCGAGCGAGCGCCAGATACGACGAAGGCATCCATACACCACCACCGTGCCGGGCCCAGGAGGGCGTACACACCATCCTAGGGCCCAGGATGGCCCTGGCCTGGCACGGTGGTGGTGTACAGATGCCTTCGTCGGACCAGACCCGCGCGTGCGCCACGCGGGTGCATGCGCTCGCCCATGGGTGCGTGGCGTCAGAGGCCGCAGGCGCAACAGTCGTAACAAGGAGGAGCATGTCGAGCCTGTGGAGCGTGGCCTGCTTCGCACCGCATCCACCGCTCAGTATGCGTTGCGGCCCTGATGCGTCGCACACCGTTGGTGTTATTGTGTTCGTGGTGTCGGGGGAGACTGTTTTCCGGGAAGTACCATGCAACACGTAATCAACACGACCGAAAGCGCACCAGGAATACCTCGGGGAGCATCGAAGGCCTCGAAGGAGCCTAAACTAAGCGCCGAGAACCATCGCGTGGTCATCGACAGAGCCGAAGGCCTCGACGAACACCAAGTCCAAACGAATCGTCGAGGGAGCCGAGTCGTCGAGAGAACGGAAGGCCGTTATGAATTACCGTGGGAACCGAAGACCTCGATATAGACCTCTGGAAGAAGCGTGGCAATCGTGTGGCCATCGGACCGACGAAGCCTCGGCCGAGGGATGCGCAGGGGGGATTTCATCCGAGGCATGGGTCCCAGACCTTCAGACCTCCCGGGGCTGGCCTCTTCGCCGAAGAGTCCTTCTTTGGCAGCCACTGAGCCCGGAAATGACAAGAACCCGGCGGTCCCCTTTTCTTCGGGCCGCCGGATTCCTGGTGCAATCGAGGAAGCCTCGAGGGAGGACCTGGCAGCCGCCGATTGCGATTCTGTCAGTCCACGGCCCGAAGGACGTCCCGACCGCTTTCCCAGGGGGCAGTGCCGTGCCGGATCCATGCTTTCTCTACCCGGGGCCGAACAGCGGGCCCTAAAAAAGCCGAGATCGAGGACAACTGGCAAGGACCGAACAAAGCCGATCGTCGGAGAGCTGGGGAAGAAGCGTCAAGGGCAGCGAACGAACGGACGAGCCAGCTCTGCGGACAGTCGTCCAGGCTTGGTTGAGACCGCGTGGCCTCTTCGAAGGCTCGGGCCTGCAATCGTGGCAGAGGGACGGAAGCAAACAGATAAGACACACTGAAGGGAGGGGAGGGGAAGGGGATGGAAACCCGGTTGTGGGAGTCCTGGTGACGGGGCACATGGCGACCCCAATCCTCGACTTGGGCTGGTTTTCGATTGGACCAGGAAATGGGGGCCCAACCCAGGGGAACACGATCGGGGAGCGTTCATCCTCGATAGGGGTGCGTCCGAATGGCCCACTTGGAGTGAATCCCAGGGTTCCGCCCCCCACTTCCTGAGCGGCCAAACTTTTCGGACGGAACTCGGGGACTGGGGGAGGAAAATCACCTGCGAGTGGAAGTCCTGGTGGGGAGGGCAGGAGAGCCCATAATCGAACCGACAAGTCGGATCGGCGGAAAATCGGCGGCCAAGTCGGGAAAAATCGCACCAGCAGACATCGGCAGGCTGGTAGGCCTCCTCTGAGAAATCGGATCTTGAATCGGGATCCGAAGTCGACCGGAACTGGCATCGGAATCGGAATCCGTCGAGATCGACTCGAGCCGGAGGAGCGCGTTCCTTTATGTTCGGCGATGATGGGCGTCACGGAGGGGGAATCGGAATCGGAATCCATCGAGATCGACTCGAGCCGGAGGAGCGCGTTCCTCTATGTTCGGCGATGACGGGCGTCACGGAGGGGGAATCGGAATCGGAATCCGTCGAGATCGACTCGAGCCGGCGGCACGAGCCCCGGGGAGGGAGGCTCGAGCAAGAAGTGGGCGGCGGCGGCGCGAGGCCGCCGGGGCCGCCGGCAAGAGCGGGCGGCGCTGCCCCATCCGAGCGCCGAGGCCCGCGCGTCCATGCCTGGGAGCGGTGTTTGTAAGCTCGCCGTCCCGATGTTTTCTCGTCCTCCTCCTCCTCCTCCTCCATGTCCTCCTGCTCCTGCTCCTGCTCCTGCTCCTGCTTCTGCTCCTCCTCCTCCTCCTCCTCCTCCTCCTCCTCCTCCTCCTCCTCCTCTGCCTCTCGTCCTCCTCTCGCCTCCTCTCGTCCTCCACTTGCCCTCCTCACACCTCTTCTCATCGCTCCTCCTCCTCCTCCTCCACCTCCTCCTTCTCCTCCTTCTCCCCTTTCTCCTCCTCCAACTACTCCAACTCTTGTTCCCAATCCTGCCGCTCGCGGTTCTTTGGACATGCGAAAATTGGGTCGTGAGGACAACGAGTCTTGCAGCCCAGGGCCCTCCACCAGGACCTACTCCTGATCTGAATGACTTTTTGTGGCAGTCCTGGGACCCTGGGAGGGCCTCGAGAACCCGAACCGGCACGCCTCAGAACCCCTTCCCCTCAGAAATTGCTTGCTTCATGGCAATGTGTTCTTCGCCCCTGTGAGGGTGGAGGACGCTTCTGTCAGCCAGAGCGTGACGAGAGCTTGAAGCTCCGCCTCGGCCTTCTGTGGGCTACGGTCAGGGTCGGGGGTCGAGCGTGCGCCTCGTGGAAGGAGGAGGGGAAGCTTGACATTCTCGCGTCGTCAAAAGAACACGGCGGCTAATGGCTGGTGATGTCCTGCCTGTGATGTATCTGTGTGGGGGGGACGTACCAAGCCCGGGGAACGTGAAAACTCGACTCGGGACGAAAAGCCGGCCTTGGAAGGGGTCCAGACCTCTGTAGAACCGCATCATGAGAAAATCACGACGTCGGACGCTCTGGTGAACCTCGAAAGCAGTGTGAGCTGCAACGTGGCAGCCCTGCGGACAGTGGATCTGGATGCCTGCGCATCGTGCGAATGCAGTGCCATTCTGGAACGAGCGGACAGGCTGACTTGCAAGCCCAGCAAGTCAGAGGCGTGTGAGGCTAGGGCGGCGCCATGCCGGAACGCGGTTTGCCCCAACCTCTGGCATGGCTGACCACGTGGACGCCGCGTCCGCGCAGCGCGCATTCCACGCACCCTTCTCACGCAGTGCACGGACAGGGGTGGGAGGGAGCACCGCCCTCCGCCTGCGAGTGGCTGGGCGGGGAAGGGGCAGCACGCGCTGTGTGGCAGCGCCCTCCTGCGGCAGCGCGCGCGGGGACAGGAGCGCCGCGCGGGCGGGCAGGGGCGGAGGAGACAGAGGCAGCCGGCGGGCAAGCTGGCGAGCCGCCAAGAGGCGGGCGGAGCCGAGACCGCAGGGACGCACCGCCTGCCGAGCAGGCCGCGCCGCGGGCCACGCAGGGAGCGAACGCAGGCCACGGGGTCTCTGAGCGTGGAGCGAGCGGCAGCGGGGGGGGGGAGGAGGAGGAGGAGGAGGAGGAGGGGAGGAGGAGGAGGAGGAGGAGGAGGAGGAGGAGGAGGAGGAGGAGGAGGAGGAGGAGGAGGAGGAGGAGGAGGAGGAGGGCGGAACTGGGTCTTCGGCCGCACGCGGCGAATGATCCTTGGCAAGGAGTCGCCTTCGGGCGGCTGGCCAGTCGTCGCACGCGATGCGACGGTATCCAATGTTGACAGGACACCCTTCGGGAGAATGCCCTCTTGTGAAAGCTGCCATGGGGCTCTCCACGTGCGCACAGCGCCACATCCCGATTGGACCCCAGCCAGGTAGCGAACGACTTCATAACGCATCCGAATCTATCTGGCGAAACGCACGTCTACTGGCGAGATCGACT